AAAATTTTTGTAAAAAAATCAAAAAAAAAACCCGTACGATTTTTTTCAACAAAAAAAAAACAAATTGAAAAAAAAAAAAAAAAAAAAAAAAGCGGAACAAAAATAATGATAAAAAGGAGCATCTCCAATTAGAAACAGTTACTTGCAAATTCCACCTGGCCTACATACGACAGCAAAAATGTTAAGAAACATAGAAAATGGAAGAGAAGTTTATCGCGTTAAGCAAAAGAGATAGAAGAAAAACGAAAAGATAGAACAAAGATCGTAATAAAGATTGTATGAATGAACGAAGAGGCGACAATGCGAAAACACCGACACGCAAGAGGTTTCTAATTGCGAATGGAACTTGACTTTCAGTTGCGTTTCGAGCGAGACCAATCTCGACGAATTCAACTTGAGATTCAGACAAATAACGGACTCCCACCGAGATCGAGGCCATCAGGTCAAATAGGTGTCCGACATGCAGGCAAAGAGATTCATCGAAGTCTGGAGAAAGGACAACGAAGTGTCTCGACCAAATACAAATCGCCGTGGGCGATCCTCCGTCAAACGAATTGTGCTACGACCTAAAAAAGAAAGTCGAACGGATTGTCACATGTGTGCACAGTAAGTCGAACGGTAATTAATTTCTTCTTTGTAAACCGAAATCCCATCTCTTTCGTTGTAATTTTTAATCGGCTACTTGACACCTCGACGAATTCCTATTCGAGAGGAACTCGTTACACCGATCGTCAGTTGTTTCTTCTTTTCTTTTTTCTTTCTGGAATTTAACCAGTTTTTTAATCAGTTTTTTTTAAACTCGATTTTCATTGAAATTTGTTCTGAAGTAGTGACTTCATGAAGAATTCTCTTTTTCTTTCTTTTTTTTTTTTTTTTTTTAATAAAAGAATGTTGAATTTCTATGCATTCTGCGAAAGAAACTTCGCGAATAAGGTCTGAACAATCGTATACTTCCGCTTTTGGAATGTGTCAATTTCGAAAGAAACAATGAGTTCAATTAGGTACAAATAGATATCTGATTCGCTGTTTAAGAACTTTTAATAATATCAGTAAACTATCAGTTAAAAAATACTTCCTAAAACATTAATAACGATATTTTCAAGTATTTTTCAAAAATTACTGTTATATTATTAAAACTATAATTGACTGAAATTGCAATACTCATTTCAAGTATTTTTCAAAAATTACTGTTATATTATTAAAACTATAATTGACTGAAATTGCAATACCCTCATTTCTTCAAAAAAAAATCAATTCCATCTGCGGAAGATGCTCAAAAATGAGAATTTACCTACAAATAGCATTAATTTACTTATTTAAACGTAATTAACTGTGTCATATTTAATATGTCATGTGAGGGAAAACTATTTTGTTGATTCGCTCGAAAATATGAACAGTCATTTTCTTGCGTTTTGAACGGATTAACGAATTAAGTTTTAACGTATATCTGACTCAACAATGTAATACGTAAGCCAAAATGTCGTTAATTGTGACGTATGTTAATATTTTCCAGACATAGATGTCGATCATAGAAAATGTAAATACACGTTGTTATTATTTATTCGAATATTTTGAAATGGATCGACAAGAAAAGGGGTCTCGATACAGTTCATCAATTTTAATGCAACTTCTGAGATACGAGTACGAACGTTTAATATCATTAAATATCATTAAAAACTTTTGTAATCCTTTCGTCTTTAGACGAAGATTTCTATCTTTAATCCTTAATTTTCAACAAATAACGTTCGCCGAAGATGTATGCAAATCTGAAGTCCATTATAATGCAAAACACATAGCTTTCACGACGCTTTAGTAAAACTTATGTCAAAGACTTTGACAACGAATAATTCATCAAAAACCTTTTAAATATTTACCTTTTATGCGAGAGGTGAATATTAAAGAGTCGTAGTTCGAACTTTTATTTAAAGTTGCATTAATATAGAACGAGTTAGATCCTTTTTCTTGTGGCATCTACTTTATTTCTTCTTTCCTTTCGTTCTACTTCCAAAATATTCCCAAATGTCATTGTCAGTGATAACTAAATATCAGTTTTTAGCTCTCACAAGCAGAACTCAATGAAGTTGACCAATAAATAATTTTTCTCTCATAAATGTGGTTCTTCACGCGTGAACGATTTTTCTTTATATAGGCACAATGAGTAACGAAAGATAAACAAGATGATTTAATAATAGCCTTCCTTCGGAAAGATAGTTCATCGCGAAAAATGCCTTGACACGCAAACAAATCACCATTACCACGCGTTTGTTTTCTCGCGTACACAACTGGGAATTTCCGGTAGTTTAATATTTACATTCAAACGTAACTTGCGAAGCGTATCACTAAGGAAACATTCCATAGAAGATAAATAGTAGCTGTGTTGTAATGTACTTAAACAAAATATCTGTAAAATTCAGTGAAAATCAACGATTAACTTTCCTCTTGAAAGTAAGACTTTTTTTCAATGAAAAAAATCAGGAAAACTCAAAGCTACATTTCTTGGTTCCATTGTCTCATTACGTATTAAACTTTATTAACGTATTATGTAATATTCGTGAAATTAATGTAAATTTTCTACCTTGACCTTTCCTATTTCAAGAGAAATGATTGATGTTTGGTCGTAAAATTTTCAATATAGTTTTCAACATTAAATTGCGTGTAACCAAATGGAAATTAAGAAAATTGTTAACACTGCTATATATTTTCTCTTTCTTTGTTACTGAGTTACTTAATTTTGTAAATAACAACAGTTGCAGATTTTCCATTTTCGTTCAGTTCATTTTGTAGAAAAATGACATGTACTCACAAACGAAATGTTGATTCTCAGAAAAAAATTTCATATCATCAACTTTAGTATGCCCTTTTGCAAATACGAGAGACACGAGCACAGAGGGAAGCATCCTATTCAGAATAGTCATATAATGGAAGTTCAATTTTTCATAGATTTGTAATAATCAACCGAAACTAACTTTTCTTTTAATTATTTTTTGTTAGAAATTCGTCGAAAACCGTGTCCATTCATTCGAATTATTCTCATTTGATCGACGTTCTTTTCAGTTACAAACTCCAAGTCAAATCTGGCGAAATACATGATGAATAACCAAGATTTCTGAGAATTTCGCGCGCGACAGCGTGACAGATTTATCTAAAAGAATGGTCGTTTAAAAAAAAAACGGAACAAGCGCTGCGATGCGTGAACAGATACCACGTTGAAATTCAGATTTTGGAAACACGCTGCGTTTCTCCTCGATAACCGTTTCGTACTTGTTCGTTCGCGGATGAAAGAAAGTTGGCCACACTTCACTGGGTCCCTTTCTGCTTTGCGTGATTGTGTGAAACGGTACGTTGGTTAATCAAGGATAATCAATGCAAAACTGTTGATTCCTCGTTCTGAATGCGCTTGAAACTTTTACTTATCTGACTCTCCTTGTGGAGATCTACGTTCATATATTATAGTTACATGATACGTATATAAAATATTTCGTGTGAATTAATAAATATGTGGGAGATCAAAGAAATCGACAGTATTCTTAAAACATTGCTTCTTTTAAATAACTGAGTTTGACACCGACGATCTTAAGGACTAATGATTAAGACGATGCGTTAAAATCTGTCAATTTCAGAGCCGCTTGTAATCTGCAGGAAGTCTAGATATTTCAGGAAAAACCATCTTCGGTTTATAGTTTATGATTTATTGTCTAACTGAGCGCGAAGACTAAAAATTAATTCGATAAAGCCTTGATTTTTTTTTTTCTTTCTTTTGATTCTTTGAAGTACGTTTTCTTCGAGGCGTACAGTGACTAGAAAAAGTATCAGCATACCATCGTGTATTTATCGTAGCAATTGTATACTATTTAATTCATCATTTAGTAGCATTTTCGTGCAATTACAAAAATTTGATGTCAACGTAGAACCTATTAAAAAGTGGTATCGTTGGAAGATAAGGCTAGATACTTTCTCCAGTTCACTGTAAAAATTCGCAATTTTCCAAAATCGAATCGTATTCGAAAGCCGGCTATCGAACGATTAGTTATCTCTTATATATTAATCTATAAAATATTAATCTCTTAATATCTATATAACGTCGTTTAAAATTCTCGCGCGACGTTCCCCTCCTCCGATCGTAACACTTTACAACTTTCGTCTGCTAGCAATTATCCTAGAACTATGTTCTTAAACAGTTATAATTGACACGTATAATCATGAATTCCATTCGATGATTGCAAACGATCAAGGAGAAACGATTTTATGAGCAAATATACACGTTTCCAGTTCGTCGCCGAGACAAGCAGCATAAAAGAAAGAAAATTCGCTTCTTCGACTCTCTCGGAGGAATGTCGAAGCTCGTGCAGAGTACAGAGTTCGGTTCACGAAACTATTGCTATTATGTCGAAGAATCAGGAGCACCGTCATCGTGAACGTATTCATATTCATCGGTATATTCATTGGTTACATCCCGTAGCTGGTTTCTCGGCCGATCGTCGACAACACTCTGGCCGAGTTTTCTTCTTATCGTCGTTTGTTTTCTCCGCGCGGAGCTCCAGATTAGTCGGCTTTCCCCTTTCCATTTTCCGTGCTGCCGTTCGCCAGTTTCTTCGCTGCTCGGCTCTCCCTGGCCTCGGTCGATTTCGTACGCTTTTCGTCCGGTTTGTACGCGCTGCTGTAGAAATCGGCGAACAGGAAGTAGAAGAACATCGCGTTAGGAAGAATCAGGATCAGCGACCACTTCGGATAGTCGCAGTCGTAGATGAGTAATTGACAGCTGTGCAGAAACGCCAAGCAGAACTGGCCCTGTTTCAATCAACGAGACGTTTGAATTTCCCTGTTGGAAATTGGTGATGTTTGATTTGTTGAAAATTTGAAAAGGTGCCTCACCATTTGGAGAGTAGTGATGTATTTCTTCCACCACAAGTACTTCTGGTACTGAGGTAACAGCGCTGCTAGCAAGTAGTACGTGTACATGATTATGTGTACGAAACTGTTGATGACACCTGGAAGAGAACGAGGCATGGACGATTGTTGGACGAAGAATGAAAATGTAAAATCTTAATGTCAGAACTTTCGAAACTGTTGGCAGGAATGCGCGAGATTTCTTCTCTGGGCGGATCTCGGTCAAGCTTTCACGATTTTGTTAAGTTATCGGGAAAAATTTATATTGTTTCAAATAGTTTTAATAGTCGTATAGGTTTGACGACCGGAAAAAAATCCAAAACCTAGACTAAGAACTTTGTAGAGACATAAATAATTTATAATTACAGAAACTACTTGACCATTAGAGACAGCCTTGTCAAAATATGGTTACTTACTTATACGATGGTTAATTACACCGGTTTTGAATATACTAATGCTGTAATGTCTCTAATCGTTTATCGCTGAAAATCACATAACGCTACAACTGTCATAATATTAAAAAAAAAAAAGAAGAAGAAAAAAACGTGAACTTTACCTATAAAGGTGCCATGTCCGCCCGGATAATATTTGGTGGCGCCCCATGAAACCATCGGCATGACGGTATGATGGTACAAGTGAAGGAACGTGATCTGTTTCTCTTTCTTCCTTAGAACGAAGAATACTGTGTCCAGAAGTTCCGACAGCTTCGCCAAGAAATAAATGTACACGCCTCTGGCGACCTACGACGAATTCGTATTGCTTGAGAGAATTAAAAGAGAAAACGGCGAATGGCGAATCAATGAAAAATAAAATAAAGAATGGCAAGAATACCCTGAGCGCTTCTGGTGAGTTCGAATAGTCGACAGGTTGACATTTCCAACTGTACTTTCGAAGCCAAGCGGCATCCAGGCCTTCGTAGAACAGCCAGAAGCTGAGAAGAACTTGAAGGAAATTGTAAAAGACTAGAATGTTCTTTAATTGGTACGGTTTCCTGTGTTCCATGTGCCTGGGACCCCAAGACAGGATGAAGTACAAATAACCGATCAAGAGGCTACCGCCAGGTACGGGTGATGGTATGAGGAACCAGTCTCTCGTTCGAGGATCTAAAAGCATTTTTAATTAATATGGAACAGAATAGAGAAGGTTCGAAAAAGAGAATGTTGCTTCTTACCGGATAGATCGTGGAATACATAGTGATAAAATCGAACAACCGAGTTATTGTAGATGTTTGACATTCTGTCGATGTGAGGTACGTTGCTCGAATTCATTGGAAGTTCGACTGAAACCAAAAAATGTAATAATTACTTCATGTAACACTTTCAGAAGCAAAACTCAACTCATAAAGCACTCTTATACAATTATGTAACTTATATAAATATAATTGGAATTTTTATACAAAATTTATTTCTTTTGAAATCTTGGCGTGCAATAAATTTTTGAAAATTTGAAGATTTATAGATTAGTAAGTTGTTAATTCTGTTTATTTTTAATTTACAATATATTATAATACAATATTATTTATTTTAGTGCATTATATCTTCTGTACGAAATTATTTCAAAGAAAATATATTTCTGTTATTGATAATTGATAAAAAAATATTACAACAAGAGCAAACGATTATGGCGCAAATTTTGCAAGACAGCTGATACGTCAGATAAGTAACATATTTAATTAGTGTAACATCATCTGTACATTTTCGAGTTTCTATGCAAACACTTCTTATCTGTCATCTATTGTCAATTATTATAACCAAATTCTCAAGATAAAAGAATAAGAAATAACTTTTGGAGAAACTAACATCAGGATTAAACAAATATCAGGCAGTAAACAAATTCAATTTCTTTAAATTGATCAATTTATTCTATGGTATTTAATTGAGCAAGTGAAAAGCGGTACATTGCACAAATTTACATTCTTCCTCGAAATTTCTATAAATATACTGGTTTTTGATTCCAAATCGCGCGATTTGAAGTATGGCAAAAAGAAGAAGGGAAAAACGTGATACGCTCGACTTCGCGTTCTTTGGTAATGTTTAAACTGTTTGCTCAGTGGCAATGTTTCACCATATAGAAGAAAAAATTGTGCCATTTTTTGTTCCCTTTTTTCCTATCTCTAAACCGTACAAAGTTACAGGCATGATAAAAGTGAAACGTAGTTCTTACAGTCTTTGTTTCAATTCTCGTCGATTGTTATTTTACATTTAATAAACTACTAGAATAAATTTTTAATTATTAATTGGTATCATTAAATCATTGGAGATTGTGATTTTTAATTCAATTTAGTAACGAATTGTTATCATAAAGAATGTAAAATACCTTAAATATCTTAAGAATGTAATATATCTTAAATAACATAAATGTTAGTAATTAAATATATATTAACTCTCAAGTAGTATCGTTGGGTTACAAATAATCACTAGAATTTGAAGTATTTTATTTTTTTATTTTTTTCATTTACATGCTATGTGATGGAAATTAAGAGTAAAATTAAACAAAATCGAGAATTTCTAAATTAATTAACTCTTATGCGACAACATGGACATTTTCGGATGAAATGGATGAATTTTAAGTCAGAATAAGTTCGAAAAAAATGTTTGGATACTCTGAATTGTTATCTGATCGTTTTCGAACGATGTGCCGATAAGTGAATCAACAAGTGTGCAAAATAAAACTGTAAAATATACGGACATGTAAGTTGGAAGTTACGCAATGTCATACAGAATTAATATAATCATTCGTAATCCAATGATACGAAATTAAATTAGAGTTGAAATTAAATCTTTCCACTTAATGAATTCATCGAATGTTTACAAACTGAAAACAACTGAATCATCCAACGAATTTAAACCGACGAGTTTCAAACCCCGAGTTTCGAACGCAACTTTACGATCGCTCGTAAAATTATACCCGACCTTTCCCTCTCGAGGCAAGTGGAATAGAATGCAACGGTCAGACAAATTCTTCGTCGAAGACCATGTCGGTAATGATGGTTTAGGCAAGGACACTTGACACGTGTCGGTCAACTCTCTGCCGAATCATGGATAAACGTAAAATTTAAACGCTTTGCCCTCGATCTCTTTTATTAGGTGTGCAATTTAAATGTCGACAGGCGAGCGGCGAACCACGAGTTCTAGGAGACAAGCAATTCCCGATTCTTGGGGAATGGTGACGGTGGAGAGAAACGAAAGAAAAAAAGTGAACTGACACAGTTACGGTGATCGGTAATCGCTCAAAGAAAGAAACAAAAGACCAGAGGGAACCATTTGTTAAGGAAATCAAGCGAGAATATCGGTGAACAATCGCAAATTGTACAGACTCGATAATTGGGTCGATACTATCTATCCCTGGATGGATTAAATAAGTCTACTAATTGGATATAAAAATTGAATATAATTCTCCTTTCTATTGGCTAATAATCATTGCACGAAATTATATGAAAGGATTTTCTTTGAATAATATTTAAAAGTAACATCGTTCATCACAGTTATGTCGTAGATAATTCCATAGGTGTTTGATGCATGCCTCATCGAAGGATTAAGTAAATTTATCAATCCAGATGTCGATATAATTTTCCTTTCTATTTACGAAGTATCGTGGATATTACAAAAAAAAAAAAAAATGATTTGTTGCTTCTGCTAAATATCGTTACTTGAAAAGCAACGTGGTTTATCCCACTTTAAGAAATGCCAACACCTTTATTTGTTGAACACTTTTTTTCGACATGTAAAACCTCCGTCGAAGATGGAGGAAACCGTTATCCAATACACCAGCGTTCTCTATCATTATCTTCATCGAAGAAATTTCATCCTGCATACACTGAGAGTTGATGAAGATCCACTGACACATCGCACATGTACTTCGAAAGTGTTACAACTGTTGATAATTGACTTTTGTATTGAAAGAACATTGAGACTAATGGCCAAGATGGATTTCAAAAGTTAAATTATAAAAGATCATAGCACTGCAACATTATCGACATTATGTGCTTAATAAATAAATGTAAAATAATCTTGAAAAAAAATCTTTTTTCTTTCTAATTTAAAATGTGTCTCACTTTCGAAATACATATATAGTCAAACACACGTGTAGAGGATCCAATCAGTGTAAATTACCTCTCATTAAACGCGACTTATGTCATGTAAATATCCTTTTAGTGACAAAATATTCAATCCTTTAGTCCTCGTATTACGGTCATTACAATGTAATTACCTACTACGTTATAATTACTAAGCTGTTGCCGTCGAAGCAAAAAAAAAAACTATTTGCACGGCAGACACAAGTTGATTTTGAGTAAGATATAATTTTACCTAAACCTACGAACGAATATGTAAATATAAATATAAAAATTATAAATATAGCATGTAGTTTCTATGAAATGTGATTTACACTGGTTAACACTGATTTTTGAGCCTTTCGTGTAATAAAATGGTCAAAAAGCGAATTTTACTAGAAAATCCACGATTTTCATAGATGATTGGTAAGATTCGAGATATGCTAATTGTACTGCAATATTTATATATGTAATTGCTTTCTTTGCAAGTAATTAGTAGAATGTCGTGCAATTTTGCTTAACATCATCGTAACCGATTAAAATCATTTCCTGCGGGTATTTGCATTAACCTGAATCTTTTTTCCCTCTGTTTTTCTCGTACGCTGAAAAAGCATACCTTTCAATTACATGTTGCAATTTCCCTGCAATACTTGCTGCAAACGATCTGCACTAATTCGTAACTATTCCATCTTGTGTCTCCGACATGCGTTGTGCACCAAGAAAAAAATATTTTCAAAATCTTGACACTCTGGAAACATGAACATTTTCCAACAATGTCGCATTGATACAAGTTTTCCTGGTATTTCAACGATCGTTTTTTCTTATATTTAGCTTGCAACTATGCTACTCATTAATCATCACGCACGTAGACTGATTAAATTCATCATATAATTATTCAAATATCACGGCCAGTCATAATTGCGGTATATACATGGATGACATTACCATGTTGAATTGCATGCACCATGTTCAATTTCTTCACGCACTAAATATAAAGAAAGCTTGCCCGTCGCTGTAAGTGTAAAATGTAAATTTATTTACAACAGTTCGAGAGAAATACATCTATCAGAGCTGTCACCATACCATTACCATAAAGTGTAATTCCTCCTTTCGTGCAATCTTAATCATTAAATTCGCTGACGACAATGTCATTTGGCAATTCACGCCTTTGACACTCGTTTCAGTCGTCGAGTGAGCATGCACTTGTGTAATAATTAGCAATGTTTCTTCATAGTTAGTTAAATACGACGGTAAATGTGATCACAGTAGAAAATGTCTGAGAAACACGCGGAGGAAAATTCTCGTCTCGTATTACATAACAGGAATGATAATTGACGGGCTGAATTTTAGAAATTGTTGAATATTCAACGATTTTACTGCACAATCCTCGGTATTCAGGTTTCATTTTATAGTTTCCGGCACTGGCTATTAACCACAAACTATCATCTCAGACCCTTTGATTTCTATCATTATTTGAAATCACTGAATATTTGACAAACAAGTAATCAGGAAGTCATTCATTTTACAATATATATTTCGAAACTTATTCGCACATTTAATTAAGTAATTATCTTTGCCTCCTATTTTATTTTGTATACATTAGTATTCTATTCTTATTAGATACCATAAACAAGTGTTATGAATATATCTAGCTAAGTAATTATCTCTTCCTTTTATTTTAGATCCCGAATTATCTTACCTATGACTCCTACTATAATCTCATTCTTAAACTGATATTCTGAAAGTTATTAATATTGTTATTTAAACGATCCTATTTTATTTTGTATATATTAGTATTCTATTCTTATCAGATACCATAAATAAGAGTT